TGACTGTTGGAAGTTGTCAATTGTGGTTCCTATCCCGAAAAAACGTGACCCATCTGAGCCTAAAGATCTGCGGCCGATTAGCATATTGCCAATTTTATCTAAAGTTCTGGAAAGAATTATGTTTAATCAGTTGCATCAATTTGTTCAAATTAATAATATTTTACCGAAGCATCAATCTGGTTTTCGTAGAAACCATAGCTGCGGTACTGCTCTTCTCAAGGTAACTAATGATATTTTACAGGCTCGAGATAAAGGATTATGTACGTTGGTAGTCTTGTTGGATTTTAGTAGAGCTTTTGATAGTGTTTGTCATGACTTGCTTGTGGAATTGTTAAAGTATATTGGCTTCAGTGAATCCGCTTTAAACTTAATTGAAAATTATTTAAGTAATAGGCATCAGTCGGTTAGAATCGGTGATGCTTTGTCTGAATTTCGCTGTTTGAGCAAGGGTGTACCACAAGGTACTATTTTAGGGCCTATTCTATTTTCTTTATATACATCTCAAATCGTTACGGGGTTAAATCATTGTGAGTACCATATGTATGCGGATGACTTGCAGATGTATGTTTCCTTTGATCCACGCGACTTCGCGTTGGGTATTACGAATATGCAAAAAGACCTTGATTACATTCATAAAGTGGCTCGGGAATACGGTCTACATCTTAATCCGAGTAAATCCAATGCTATACTTTTTGGAAATTCCGCTATATGTAATGGTTTTCGGGAAAGTATTGATTTGCAAATTGATGGTTGTAACATTCCTTTGGTTAGTGAGAAGTTAGTAAAGAATGTAAAGAATTTGGTTAGTAAAGAATTTGGGTATGATTATGGACAACAGTTTTCGCTATAAGAAGCATGTCTCCAACTGCATATCCAGGGCTTATTATCATCTGAGGATGTTGTTTCCTCATCGACACTACCTTGGTATTCATCTGAAAAAGGTGTTGTGCGAAGCCTCTGTGTTGTCTCAATTCACTTATTGTGCTGAGGTCTACCATCCGTGCATTGACGTTAGCGATGTAACACGTATTCAACGAGTGCAAAATTCGTGTCTTCGGTATATATATGGAATTAGAAAATATGACAGAATATCTTATAAACTGAAGGATGCGGGATGGCTAAATATGTATCATCGTAGGAAAGTGCAGTGTTTGTGCATATACCATAAAATTATAAACTACAAGGAACCACAGTATCTCTACCAACTGATAACTTTCCGAGATGATGTCCACCGAATAAATACGCGATTTCGCGGAAGACTGTCGCCACCCTTCTATCGTTTGTCTTTGTTTCAGAGATCATACTTATTTCAAATAACTTCGAAATATAATGAGGTGGACGATAATTGCAAGGGGTTCTCACTACGAAGGTTTAAATTTACACAGAAATATTCTTGTTTTCTTGAACAATGTCTACATGGGGGCAAACGCTGATCTGACATGTTTTGCAATCTTGTTGTTGTATCTTGCTGTTGCTTTGTAATTTTTGGCCGAGTCATGTTTTTCTTTTGTTGTTCCTTAGGTTAGTTAGAGCAGCTGTACTAACTAGTACAAGCTGGAACTCGCCTATTTTCTTTTGTATGTTTTTTTTGTACAATTAAGCTTATTTTCTAATAAAGGCATTTATTATTATTTATTTCGTATTGGGTGTGCGGGGAAATCGCCCCCGTTGTACTGACATAAAAATTTCCTAATAGTTTCGTTTGTGCTTGGTTTGTGCTAGTTTGTGCCGCAAATGCAAAGATATGTGCTATTAAGGTATGCCAGATATTAATTTATTTCTTATTAGGGGTGCGCGGAAATCGCCTCCGTTGCACTGACATAATATGGCCCACAATTCTTAAGAAGAAACCAGTTTAAAAACTTCCAGTTAAAGAATTCTACTCTAGCATCTAAAGTTTTTAAATAAAATAGGTCAACATCATTAATTAAGAACTGGCGATTTTTTTAAAAATATTATTGTAATAGGGTTATTTAATAAGGTCCATTGAAGCGGCTGTTTAACAGTGGGTTTTTTTTTAAAACTCATTGATGAGTCAAATTTTGTTTTTCTACTTTTTCATACACAATTTTATTACGGTTTGCAATTAAGTGGACCTTATTTGCCGCAGGTACCTTACATTTTGCAATTAACTTTATTTGACGTATACGATGGTTTGTACGTTGTTACACATTTTCTTTTTAATTGATGAGCTTTTATTGTTTAAATCATCGTACTTTTGCCAAACAAAATTTTTGTGACAATAAGACATGAAATGTCCAACACTTTTGGTTGATACACCTCCAAAATAATCTACTAGACCCTTCAAATGTTACCTGATATTTTCCATCACTATAACTTTCGGAAAAATTTCAAAAGAAACTTGACATGCC